TCCACCCTTTCACCTGGATTCTTCTAAGGCCTGCAAGCCCTGTCCGTATGGCAACACTGTTATCTCAAACTTGAAGAATGTCTCTAATATTCAGAGATCTTGCTTCATTCATATGGAAGGAACATAAGAAAAGCAGACAAAACCAGCATATGTCAGGAAACGGCCACCTTTCTTAACCAAGAAAAGAAACCCCATTCGTAGAATTATAATAGTGGACAGCAGTATGTACAGTAACATCAACATAAAATTTTATAATTAAGCACACTTTTTAATTAAGGAAAATATTTTAGTCAATGGAAATGGCATTATGATAGGATGGTTGTTACTCTGTGTTCTCCAAAATGTTAAGGCTGAATAAAGACACTTTCACGAAAAGAATTGAGAAGTATATAATTCTCAAAGGCTACTGCTCTTGCTACATACAAAAAGTATTTCTCTGTAGCACATATTTGGTTTTGAGCAAAAAGTCTCTGAACACACAGGGATAGCACCGGGTATGATTGATCCAAAATACTTCCACTGACAGTAAGCTACAGTCCGGTGTCACCTGGGCTATCTGGGCAGGTTTGCTATGCTCCAGGAACTACAGAGATCAGAAGCGGTGGCTCATGTGGTGTAGCTCTTGTTATGGAAGGTTGTATGGTGGTATAACACATTATAAAAAGTAGCTACTCTGCATACTTATTAAAGATGCCTGTCAAAGTAAAACAACCTGGTCATTTCATTCATTGATTTTCAAATAAAAGATAATATGAAGGCTTAGGAACATGATTTCTGAAAAGGTATTTTAACTTTTCCACGCACAAAGGTTTGCATGAGGTAACAGAAGCCATAAAAATAAGCTCCAAATCCTGAAAATTGATTTAAAAATGAACCAGGCAACCTGTGAGAGCCTTTGAGGAGGGTACATATCTCCTTTTGCTGCATCCAAGTTATAAGTCTCTCAAGGATACAAAATCTTTCATTTGGTCAGCTACAGTTTGAGAGCATAGAACTAGAATGGGGTACATAAAGGAATAATTATCCACACATATATTTACAGCATAGTTCCTTTGCAGAGGACATAGCACCCTTTTTTTTTTTTTGGTGTGTACTCCAGACTTGACCTTCCTCTGGCCTTGGAATTATTTGTAACCCCTTTTTTTTTTTTTTTTGGTGTGTACTCCAGACTTGACCTTCCTCTGGCCTTGGAATTATTTGTAATGATTTTCTCTGTAGCCAGGCTCTGAAATATCAAACACAGTTGTAGGTAAAGGAAGAGGCTGGTCAAAAAGCCCACCCAGAGGTACCATAATAAATGGAAATGAAACTAACATACATAGAATCAAGCAAGATTTGCCTTGGTACCATCGACTCCCATGAGTAATTTGCATGGGAAGTCAGAAGAAAACAACAGGAAAACAAACTGGGGAAGGGACACTCTTTAAAGTCAAATGAGGAAGCCAAGCATCATAAATTTCCTGGTGGTCAAGCTCCTGGAAAGTAAGAGATTGAGGAACACTGCAAAAGAATGTTGTAGGGATTTGTGTTTACAAAAAGAACCCATGCACCTGTTGATGTATTTTCCAGGCCCTTGAATGATAACAATTTATGAGGCTATTAATACTAAGCCCAAGATTTATCAGATGTGCTGTTTGTCTTATGGCCAACATAGCCTCATAAAATTTGGGTTGCATTGGTTTAAAATGGAGCATTCTGCTATTGGAATTATTCAGAGCATTTAAATCGGTTAATCCTACAAGAACGGTGCATTTAGCCTGCCTATTAGGGAGAGTCTTTAGGGATTCCTACCAGTTGCAGAGCCAGGCTGGAGAGGACGGTCCATGGCTGGGTGAGGTAAAATGGAGGAAGCAGGGGAAGAATGAGTCCTGGAGACATGATGATGTTTTTCTAATCCATCCATGCCAACCACAGCCAGCTGAGCTTGGCAGACCGAGAGCGCACGTGTGTGCTGGGGCTCCAGGAAGGGCTGTTGCCAAGAAAAGAGCACAGTAGAAAGAAACATGAGACAGGGGTCGAGGGAGACAATGAAAGCAACATGTCAACAAATTAAGTTCATCAGGTCAGAGACATAATAAACGGTGTGAAGGGAAGAGAAAAAAAAGAGAGAGAGAGAGAGAGAGAGAGAGAGAGAGAGAGAGAGAGAGAGAGAGAG